GTCAAACCAACGCTACTGATAATAGCCATCCTAAAATCATTTTGCTCAGAACATCATATTTATAGATGCGTTTACCATTTTGCTTAACCATATAAAATCCTTAAGCATGAGTATAGTAAGGGTTTTTGATACTTAAATATTACAAAGCGCTCTTAATTATTCCTTGAAATTAGATATTATCTCACTATTTTATTCGTGTTTTACTCATTTTTCTCTTAGTATCTTCATGATAGCGGAATAAGCCACCGGGATTTAAAGGTAACTTTTTCTTATCTTTATGACACCAAAGAAATTTACTTGGCTATTGGCAATTAATTTCAAATATTATTTCTGCTAATTTATTATTTCCACATGTATTTATAACATTTTAGTTTATTGCGCTATTGATTTACGATTTAAAGAATATTTTGAGACTTCTTTTTCTCCAAAATAGATGTTTATCACTGCCCTAATTCTTGACTTCTATCTTCTTTTACCAAGATTTTTCACCAATTTAGAGCGTTATATAAATTTGTTAGCTTAAGTTCTTTTTAATGAATGGAAAATTCCATGTTTATTACGGCTTGCGAAAAAAAACTTTGATTGCCTAGTTTCTTTTACGGAATTGTTTATTAAATCGATCTTATAATAACTTATTAAGCACAATAATACACAAAATAATCTTTACTATATACGGCGTTTATCCTTAAAGTTTGTCGAAATAGAAACGTACTTAACGTAATCGGAAAAGCCATTCGCTTATTTGGCTTCACTGTAATATATTCCGAGTCAAGCTTGCACATAACTTCTTTGTTTCTACTTCAGTTGATCATATTTCCTTAGGTATTATTATTTACTTGTTTTCTTTTAATTGATAACCTGGTTTGAGATATCGAACTTAAATTTCAAATTAAATGAAAGCCACCAACATCGAACGTAATAGACCATAATTAGGATATATGATGTGAACTAGATGTAAATAAGCTTCTAGCTTATATTTGGCCTTTGATTTGTTAGAGTGAAATGATGTTTATAATTCAAAATACATTTTCTTGCATCACGTCATCAGCCAGAAAATATTCTTCTTTCTGGACCCGATAACCGCTGCCTCATTAAAGTAACTGACTTCGGTTTATCAAAGCTCGTTGATAGCAATACTATGCTGCGTACATTCTGTGGCACACCAACATACCTGGCGCCTGAGATTCTAGAGTCAGCTGGCTCTGGCGTTTATACGAGTGCAGTTGATGTCTGGTCTTTAGGCGTCATACTCTATATTTGGTGAGACCATTTACATATATATATATTCTATTGATATAAAAAGTGATTGAACTTAAGGTACATTCGGCTCCTTTACGGACGGCTGTCTTATGTACTAACTTAAAAAAATGAACACGAGATTCGCACAATCAGAACAGGTACAAATTTAGTCTGTTTATTTTATAATTTATATAGTATTTAAGCAAATAAATATATTTAAATATCTATATTTATATTTGCAAGATGATTTCGTATGCCATTTCGTAAGCATTTAACAGAAGAATAAGTACTTTTTAGTAATCAAAAGGTTTTCCAGGGGAGTAGTTTTAGCATTCGATAGAGCCTTTTGACATAGATACACTGTCAAATGAATTGGCTTCATCCCAATGTTGTGAATTATCTGTGAATTTTGGCTCTTCTTAAAATAATGCAAGGATGTATTCTCAATCGCCCTTGGAATTAATATATATTCTTTCGACTACCTTACTGTAGAGTGGGTATTCTTGCAATGGGTTATCTCTTGGCTATATCCTCTCTCTCTTGTATTGCGTATCTCTACTTCCTCCACTGATTCAAAATATACTATAATGCCTTGAAATTCGCATCCGCATTGTGACCCAAGGGCACTCGTGGCAATGTGGTGGAGTGGTTAGGGCGTAGAGCTTGCACTTTACACTGTCATTGTTTGGCTCCCGCTGGGTTGAAACTACAGTCCATCTTCGACGATAACAACTTTTGGAGAAGCAAGGCTATGTGACATTCGATTGAAACCTCAGCTTCATTCATATCATTGTATGGACATCCAACTACCAGTTATTTATCACCTTAAACGAAATACGGTGAATATATCTCATGTATTTAATTTGCTGGTAGTCTCAGAATTGCTTATAAACGAAACATTTTGTGATATTGTTTTATTACACTCACTAGGCTCAGAGCTCCCTAGATTAAGGAAACTAGCTACTGACATCTGCTCTCCACTGGTCCTATTACACAATTTTATTGCCGTTGA